GGGAATGTAGCCAAGCTATTCCATACACGGTCGAAATCCCGCTTCATACTCACGGATCAAGGTTTTACATGCAGGCGTAAGATGACGGAGAATTAATGGCTTCATAATCCCTGTTCCAGTGAGAGTCAGATTGGCACACTTGAGGTCACTACATTCACTGCGAGCGCGCTTCTTTTACAATGAACTTTATTATCGACTGATCTCCGTTGTCTGAAATGGTCTCTTTTTCTCAGATTGGCGGGAATACTTTAGGCACTGACTGATGAATTGACCACCGTTCTTGAAGATACCACACAAAAGTTCGACGGGATTAGGAGGTTAAAGACGCTGGATGGGTGTGAGCACACCCGGAAGCGTCTCAGCGCTGCGGATCAAACCAGCTCCTGGATCGGGTCTCAGTATTCGTTGTGCAGGCTTGATGGTTCGAATTTGCATGATGTGCAGACGCACATGTCCTGTTCGGATCGAACTTGTGAGCCACCAGCGTACCCATTATTAAAGTCAGCTGGTGGATTGCAATAGGCCTCTGTATGTTCATCCGCCGGTTTCATTCCTTCGGACATATGTCTGTGCCACTGGCTTACAGGTTACACAACACTCGAACACATGCAAATTGTCTGTGATTATCCATCAGTGTTCAGGCGTCCAATGGAAGTCCGGTTTATTTACTAGTCTTTCAACCAAGTGTTTTTTGGATCCAACAGGAATCTTACGCGTCTGACAGTCGAGTGTCTGGGTCGATACTGATCTAACCTCCCATCACGAAAAGACGGCCTTACCGTGGTGTTTGTGTGCCGCAGCGACTCATTGTATTATACTGGAGATGTCCCCGCAACACTCCCAGAGTCTCTCATGCCATTTTGGTCAATGGTTAGAGGTCCGACAGACACAGTCGCCTGGTCCTGCGGGTTGAAGGTTGTAACATGTGGCGACTTGTTCCGTAGAAGTGATAATGCATTCGTATTTCCCACCCAACTCCATTGCTTTGCGATTAGGCTTTTAAGCCAAGGGCCTTGGTAGGGGACTTTATTAATCATCCTGTCCAGGTTTGGGCGTCCTGACACTATTTCAGCCTACGTAGAACCGTGATGCCTACGTCCACCAATAAACCCACTGGCCGTCGCGTGGGACCATCAGCCACATCGCCTTACTCGCTGCATATATTAGGGCGGGTAGGCGGAAACAGGCTACTGCTGACCTCTCCCTTCTATGTTTTTCACATACTTTCCCCCCTCTCCCCACTCCAATACTAACTCCATCCTTGTAGACCCGGCACTTAGGAATGATGACTCCGTTCGTCTCGCATTAGTTTTGCGTGCAACATCTGCTCGTCACATGGCGCCGACATTCTCAGGTATCTCGAAATCAGTATTCGAGCCTAGACGCCCAGTCTCTCTGGCCGCACTCTGAAGCAAGCAGAACAATAATCTGCTCTTGTTCTCACACCGGACTCATTTGGCATTGATGTGTGTTGTATCTCAGAAACAAGAATTCAAGATACAAGCACAGTGGTTGTGCCAACCGCCCCATCAGTCTCCACTCGCTTCCGGCTACACACTTCTGGTGATCCAGAGGCGGGCCAGAGGCTGTATGTTCAGAGGTTGGTAACGTCCTAGGTCACCGAGCTGAAGTACCCTTGCCTGACTAGATACCCATTGATAGTCGGTTGTGCATATTTCTGGCAACGTCTCTGAAATAGTCTCACAAGGGGGAAGCTGATCGATGTGGCTTATCGTGTCTGCTTATGTTGAACACTGATGTCATGCTGCCGATCATGATGATCCTACCTCAATATGGATTGGGCAGAGGAAAAAGAAGACTTATGGCAGCTTTGGTGGCCACATATCGCTTTCTGTAGACTGAGCGTGAATGAAATTAGCGAGCTAACAGCTCAGATATCGCGGTGGTTGCCGCAGACCATCTCGAATAAAGAAGAATGCCTCGACCGGTGGACTGAATACTTCGAACAACAACTGTCGTGGCCACCAGATGGCACTCATCTGGAGCCCACGGTGAACGTGGAACCACCTACGGCCTCAGAGGTATACGACTGCATATGTTTTCTCAAGCGCCACCGAGCTCCTGGTCCGGATGACCTCCCACATGCACTGTTCAAAGACGGGTGTGAAGCCCTTAGTCAACGCTTGTCCGATCCGTTTGCCTACATTTGGGAAAAAGTCTCTTTGAGACAACAGAGGAGGGTAGATGATAGTGCCCATTTTCAAAAAAGGGGCTCGCAGTGAGTGGTGTGTGTGTGGGGGGGATCGATCCAGTGTTGCGTTCAACGAGAGACGGAGTGCAGCGACAATCAGAGTAAAAAGGCCAGGAAGCTAGGCTTTATTCATCCAGAATTTTGACACTGAGAGCTGAAACGAAAGCGATTTAGCAACAAGCGACGAAACGTTTGAAAAACTGAGCAAATGTACGACATTTAGTCGTAACGAAACTGTTGGCGTCACTGGTGCTTCGTAAAACACTGACTTGAGAGCAGCAAGCGGAATTCCGGCCTGGTAGGGGTTTCGTTGCGCAAATCTTCATACTCCGTCAGGTGCTAGAACTGCGCCATATGTACGAACGACCCACAGTTTTAGTATTCCTGGATTTCCCAGGCTCATTAGACTTGGTTGACCGATTGACACGACCGACTTCTTGACACGATTGCCCACCAAGGAATGCCACCGAAGTTCGTGAAAATAATGAGCTTTTTGTTTTCTAAGACTTTCGGACGTGTGAGAACATTTGGGATGCTCTCCAAGTGTTGTAACGGTATTTTCCTCAGCTTAGTTCTCGGTCTGAGCCTCCCAAGCTAGCGTTCACGTCAAAACAAACACCAAAGGTGCACAAGGTTTATTAACGCCCAAAACGAAATCAGGAACAGTTGTACAGCGCTTCCTATATATAGCGTAAGCGGCTATAACTTTCTGGAATTTCTGACGCGTTCTGGAGCTCCATTGGCAACCGGCATTTGGCCAATACTGGGTCATGATTGGCTGTTGGGTCCAGATTGTTGACCAATCAGATCTCGTCTTGATGCCGGACCGGCAAGCGTCCCGAATTTTGGGCCAACCCCGAGCGGGCTAGGCTTCTCGGCCGTAGCAGCGCCTAAAGACGTGCGGTATAGTGGGATCCGCGTGGATTCCTGCCTAACACCAAGCTCTTTCGTACACGAAGTGGTGCCCACCCTCTCCATCCCTATTTAACTCCGCGATCGATGGACTCATGAGATGAATGCTAGAAGGTCTCCAAAACTCTGGCATTGAAATGGCCTGTGATGAAAACCTTGTCTGGCATATGCAGGCGAATATGCAATTCGTTCTAGTCTTCGAAGAGGAGAAGGCATAGGTGCTTTCGGATAAACCGACTAAAGTCATCCCGTCCTTTGGTACGCACTTTGCACCCACGGGGTGTGGGTCATGCCTCTGGACATACAGTCACTGAACACACCACTTAAGATCCAGGGTGAGGCATTGGAAGTTGTGGAGCGTTTCACGTATCCTGGAAGTTGTATTAATTCTGATTTTGATGTGACAGATGCGCAAATACACGAGTCTACAGGGCCCCTGTCGCGCTTACTAATTTGAGACACCTATGGCATCAGAGTGGTGTATTCCTGAATCTCAAAAGACGTGTGCATCAGCCAAATACGCTCATTGGCAAACTAATTTGGTTTTTCGAGAGGCTCACCTGGAACCCAGCTGAATCTCTCGGTTTTGGTGTTCCCAGGAGGAGTTTTCAGCAACCTTATGAGTAGTGCATTACAAATATATAGACGTGTGTATCAAGCTACAGTGCGGGCTATATTGTTGTATAGCCGTGAGACTTGGTCTGTTCGAGCAGCGGAACTGGGATGTCTTCAGGTGTTCGACACTTGTTTTTTCAGAACCATATTTCATGTGGGTTGGTCGGCGAATCCGTAACGAGGCAGTTTAAAGTCGGTTTCCGGTTGTGCAACGGGTACTTCCATTAAAGAGTGTGTCTAGCACCAGAAACAGCGTTTGTTGAGACATGTGTTGCTTATACCGGAGCATCGTTTGCGGAAAAGAGTGCTGTTTTCCATGCTCATGGCGAAATCAGTGAGGCGGCCGACCCTTGACCTGGGAGAGGTGCATGAAGAAGATCACAAAACGTTTGGGTGCTGTCGGTGCTAGTCGTCTTTCAGGATGGGGACTGGGTGATCCCCACTGCGCCTGGTTGGAGCGATGAAAGATATGGCCGCCAACCGATATCAGTGGCGTTCTCGTCAGTTCCTATCCAAATCACCTGAGTATCAGGAGATGTAGGCACGTCGGAATGATTGTGGTAAGCTAGCACCAAGTCCATTCTCTCATTGACCTTCATTCTTTTCTTCACAATAAGGCAGCGAAGGATCGATGTTGAACACTGATGTCATGCTGCCGATCATGATGATCCTACCTCAATATGGATTGGGCAGAGGAAAAAGAAGACTTATGGCAGCTTTGGTGGCCACATATCGCTTTCTGTAGACTGAGCGTGAATGAAATTAATCGTCTCTTTCAAGTGATCAGCAGTTCTGTGCTCATAGAAAGAGTAATCCCAATGAAGGGCGGGATAGACACAATGGCCCTTGAAGTCCGCCCAGCTCCTCAGCTTTCAAGTTCATCAGTTAATGGAAACTGTTACCGAAGTATGTACAGACAACCGTCCTCTCGAGCCCGAGGTAGTTCCGTGGTAACTGGGGCAACTGTTGGCTAGGATGTGCCAATTCCGTGTGCCACCCCGACTTTCCGATTGCTCCAGTCTAAGCTCCGGCAAACTAGCAGTATATAAGATCTCTTACCTCTTTGGGTTGTGGAACAGCTATACGCCAACGGTATACAACGGCCTTAATGCCGTTATCGCCTGTTTTGAGGGCTGTTGTCACCTACTGCTATAACGTGCGTTTTATACCCCACATATTCTCCCAAAGTACCCTAGAAGAAATATGTTTGCTTCATGCTCGAAAAAACGCCGCCTCTTTTATAATTGGCATTATTTAGTTATTCTTTCCTTTTAGGACTGTAATGTCATTGCACGCAGCCTGTCGTCTCCCATTCCTCCATCCCACGGCATATCGGTCACTCACAACGTCTTCTCGATGTCTCAAGGGCAATACTCGGAAACCTCGTCTCACTGCCTCAGGTATGGGCGTTATAAGTGAAAAATCCAAGGAGAAGCGCGACTCAGCTCGCCAGTTATTAGCTACAACAAATCGCACGAAGTGGGAAGATACGAACCGAAAGCTCGCTGCTTTGACTGGCAAGTTGCCAACAACCAATGTTTACCTCTCTGCAAACTTCGAGCAGAGGCGCTTCTTGCTTGCGGAGGCCGCCGAATGTTTACGGGAGGCTGCTCAGCCTGAAATGTTTGACTGTTTGCAGAACCCATTGAGAGCCAAGGTGTGTTAACTTGCCTTACGAACTATTTTCATATTCCAAGAATTGCTTTGTTCGTTGTTGTTGTTGTTAGTCCAACGTGTTATCATCAGTTTGCAGTGTTCAGATCTCACTAATTCAGATGGTTTTGACAATGCCCCAGTCGTTTGGTGTCTGAAACAACGGTGCAACGATTCGGCAACTCACTCATTAGGGGGAAAGTAGCACAGCTTTATGTCGAGTGACTGAACAGAAGGCACGTCATGCACTGTTCAACAGCACCTAGCGTAGTGTTTCGCGCACGCCCTGCCAAAGGAAAGGGGGCAGTAAATGCGTGTAACTGAGTGTCCCTTGGTCTAGTACGTGTCACTTACCTTGTGGGTTGTTTGAGTCCTATCCACACTCTCCATTTCCGGTCCCCATAACTGGAATACTTCTCACTCGCCGTCGATTGTAATGACACTGCCCCAATCCAAACTTTTCCTCAATAGCTAGTGCAATTCGCCTCACCCGCTATGTAGTCGGGTTTTGTTTACTTTTTCCTGTTTCTCCGAATTTATTCTTCAGTTTACTTTGAACATGCGAACAAAGAAAAAGACCAAGTTCCTGCAGAAATTCGAGGGACATGTTGTACTGCCGAACTCACTGGATTTCTTGCCGAAAAGCCGTGTCATTGCACTTTGCAATGTAAGTGCTTGTAGTGCCTTTTTATATTCTAACCAGTCCATTTCTATCAGGGGGTCTTGATATAGTAAGATACAATTAAACTGTTGGACTGAAATAAGTGGAATAACTGTTTTACTCTCGTTTGCGATAGTACTGTGGTGTTTCTATAGTTTGATGTAATGCTGTTTCATCGGGCACACTTGTATTGACGCATGTTGTAGCTGGACAGTGATGCTTGTTTTTGGGAACTGAAAATGAGCCTTTCAAGCTGCAGCAACTGGTTTTACCTAAACTCCGCCAACACGGTGACCGTCTGTATTTGTATTTATAAAATGAATTTTCCATCGTTAGTCAGATGCAAGTAGGTGGAGTTTGCCTTCCAGGTTGAAAAATCTCTACCACCTTTCCACGAACGGACCAGCCGGAGTAACTCATCAGTTTCCGTTATTCCCGGTTTTCACGGCGCTGAGTATCGACGCGGGACGAGTAATTATCCACTGCTTCCACTTATACACCCATTTATATACCACTGGTTTTGACAAGTGACTCACCTGGAACCCAGCTGAATCTCTCGTTTATGCTATTCTTCTCTTGTTTGCTAGGAGTTTCTTGTTCAAACACCAGTGTTCACTCTGCCTGGTGTTTTTCATTTATTTTTATCAGGCTGGTTACGGTCTCTGAATGAAACGATTTCATGAGCTTTTACCAGGACGTGAAACATACGGATTATGCTATCATCCACACAATGCGTATTGTTGGGTCAACATGGACATGCGCTTCATCATTGCCCATACGTGAATAACTCTCCAGTATAGCTTTTGTTCTCTTATTTAATTGAATCGCGATGCGTTTGAATTGAGCGTAGCTCCTCAGTGGGGACACCAACCGACAATGTGTGTTTTGTTTCGAAGATTGAACCGTGAACTATGATCGACCAAAAACGTAGTTTGGTAGAACTACTCTGGCTTTGTCACAGCCTACTGCCACCTTCAAATCAGCTAGTGTGCACAAAAGTACACTAAAATGATTCAATGCACCGTAGATTTCCTTCGTTCTCATATGCGCGTCTCTGAACCGCATCACTAATTAGCGAAATACACGCATTTGCAAACTAATTTGGTTTTGCGAGACTCACCTGGAACCCAGCTGAGCCTCTCGTCTGTGATGTTTCCAGGCAACTGAATGTGCTGCACCAGACCACCTCATGTTTCAGTTGCTACGATATTTGAGATATCGCAATACATGTAAGGCACTACTCATAAAGTTGCTGGAATTTCTTCGACAGCCCATGACCGGTTTCACCCTTCTTGGGGCTCATCAGGTAGGCGAAGTCACCGAGTTTCCGTCAAATTTATGTTTTGCTTGGAACCAAATTGCACACCTACCTGATGAGCCCCAAGAAACGCGAAACCGGTCGTGGGCTATCGAAGAAATTTCGTCACTAGTTGTGTTTCGGCTACCCTCACTTTATTTAACTCTCCTATCGAAACTGTCAAAGTCGCAGTTAGTTGATAGCAACTTCTCTGAGCTCGGTATAAGTTGGTGACAGACCAGAGGAGCCGCGCTACGCAGACACAACTGATCCATTATTGAAGGTTATTTCCTACCCAATATTACCTTATATGCACATCAGAGAAAACTTCCTTGCACCCATGTCCCGATTTTTCACACCTTTGCAGGATGCTGAGGATGCAGCTCTAGCAGTGGAAGCTGGAGCTGTGCATGCGGGAGGTACAGAACTATTCACACGATTAGAAAATGGCTCACTTCACTGGGAGGAATATGATACGGTCGTAGCGCATACCGATTGGGAGCCGACACTTAAAAAACTCCGTCATGTCTTGAAGGATAGACTGCCAACGATGAGAAATGGTAAGTCAGGTAGGGTAACTAGACTAATTTGGTGTTCTGACGATTCAGAACAGGAACCCAAAACAGTTCAAAGAAGATACCATTCTCTCCCGCATCAGTTTAACTCAATTTATTTCGGGAATTGGGACAATATCAACACTTGTGTGTGCCACATATAAGGGAGCTCACGTGGCACTAACGGTCTTGGAATCTTGATCTATTTCTCAGATATAGAGAGAATCAATATGGAAGCTAAGTGTATGGACCTGATCCGAACTATGGGCCATGGCTCAGCTAGTATGTCACTTTCCGTTAGGCGAAAAGTTTAGGGTTTGCTTCCCACTCCTGGCTTCCTTTTTTCATGTATAGTTCGGTTCCTTTTCATCATTATCTTTTGCTCCGGGAAACACGCACTCCTCCATACTTTCCCCCTGTAATGGAATGACTGTCCACCTTGATATCATCAACCCACTGGTTGTTCTAACAGCACTGCTGAGTACCGTTTTGAGAAAAAAAGTCTTTGCAATGAATAACGCTTTGTTTATATGTGGCACATAAGTTGGATAGCCAGCATATTTTAGGCAAAACCATCGACACGGATGAACATCCAGGTATTTATTGGACCCTTTTGTCTGTGTGCTGGTTTCAGTTCATAACTTCTTTGGGTTAGCTTCCCAACCCCATCACCTACTGAGAGCACTAGAAACTCGCTTCAAGTGAGAACTCAAAAGGGTGGACCACCGAAACTCGCTAGTAATGTTCAAAGTTGGCCGCAACGTACCTCCATCGTTAAATTTCCAAAACGTTCCTTGTCATGGCCCCGTGTAAACTGCAAGTTATTGTCCTTATTCAGCAACTCCCTCAATGTTACCGTCAGTATCGACCACCTCAATGTCTGACAAGCAAACTTTAAAACATTGTGTCCCCTTTACCCATCTCATTAGGACTGATGAAAGACGTGTTTTGATATGTCAACCTTTATTCTCTCCAGTTGCGGATGTAAAATATGCGATTAGCAGAATAGACACCGATTGATTGGGTCCTGCAGTTCAGGTGATCATTACCAAGGTAACTAGATTGTTTTCTTTAATGCTTTTGTGCACATAGTCAGGATTGGTTTGACGTGGTCAGCAGCACTTCGCTTATTCCGCTGCGCAATTACTCGAATTAAATAATCCAGATGTTATCAGGCCAGCTATCGGGTCACAGGTCAAGTGACAACCTTTCATCATAAATATTCAGCCTGGCCATCACACTGACCTGTTCAATTCATTCCGAATCCTTTTGTGTAAGGAATCCTCAACATTATAACGATAAGCGACGCGCTTCTGGCCGAATCAAATGGGATCCGATTGTGTATAGAAAGACGGTTGAAGCAAGCAATCCTGCGAACTTGGCACTGTTCAGGGGACTTTCAGGAATCGGATAGATAGTGTCTGTTCTGCATTGTTTCTACTATTTATTTCCTATGGCTCGAACGATTGAAGAGAATAAAACTAATGTCGGCGTGTCGGAGAAAATCACTTGTGGGCTTTCATGAATAGTTTGAATGAATAATCTATCGCTTACTCAAGCGCGCTTAAGTAGTCTGTTTCATGAAAGCGTTTATCGGGCCACCCATGTCCACTCAGTGAGGTGACCGGGATCACTAGGATATACTCGAAGATTTTTCCGCACTGCAGTTTTAACATTCCCGAATCGAGAATTTATCAACCTACTCTCCTCCTCGCTACCAGAAAAAGCACTCGCTCTATTGAATTCCCCTAAACGATGACCCACCAGCTTGTGACAAAAACCCAATCTTTCCTCTCATTCGCTTGCTTTAGTTCTACATGAAATTTAAGATTGGTGTCCTTTTTATTGTTCGAATACCGTCTGTCGAGTGGTACTCGTGGAAAACCGTGAATACGTGCATGCTTGTTTGCTACAATAAACAAAAGCTTTGGGACCAAATTGTGCCCAAGACCATAGGGACTTGCAAGAAAACTGACAAAGCAACTCGTGTCGGCTTATGCTGGGAAACATACACTTTTTGGACATTCCCTTTTTATGTACAACTTTGATAAAGTAAGCAAATTCCATACTAATAAAATGTAGACAGTTGGATCCAAGGGTTTTATTAGACTGTGGCTTGCACCAACATGAGGCTAGATCCAGACCATATTGATATTTAGTTCTGTCGTCATCCATGGTTTATATTGCCCTGGCCTGCATGGCGGTAATCGTAGTAGTGTACTCGTGGTATGCGTCATCGCAGGTATTTTACATATTGCATCAAATGAAGGATCAAGCGGCCATTTTGCAGCACATTCGGTTGAATACTACCATAAACAAGAGATGCAACTGGGATTCATTAGATTATTTATTTAAAACCAAATTAGTGTACGAACGAGTGTATTTAGTAACTTCCCCGTTTTTTCAGTTACCAGTTGCTTTATCCGTCGGTTGTCGTCTGAAATCCATTTGATTGAAGTGTTTTACTCCTTTCGCCAACGTTTTGGGCTGAGCTGGATACGGTTGGGGGTTGTCAGTACATAGTCCACTAATTGCTGGTACGGTGAACCGATTTCCTTGTATTCCAGACGTCAAATCTTATGCGTTCGGCCTTGGAATCGACATATCGTAAGTGATTAGTCTGTGATCTGCCCCGCAGTTTGCTCATCTCACCAATCGCGTGACTTGCACTCGTATACGTCTGTTTCACTAGTGACGAGTGCCGTAGTGAGATGTGTGGGAAAAACTGCTGCACCAATATATCCGTGTGGCGAGGTTTCGATCATTAGGGCAGAATTTCGTATAGGTTATTGGAATTAAGTAGATTTGAACGGGCGCTCGCGGTTTTGAAACTATGACATTCGTGAGCGTCATAACTCTTCAACCACTTCGGGCACTGAAATCCCCGTGACATCGTTTTTCTGAATTGACCGAAGGAGAAGAGTAAATCCGATGTGCAGATTTTCGTGGTCTGATAACCATAGCGCTGGAACGTATTACCTGGTTATGGATATTCCGCATCGGCAAGGCAGGCAAGGTGGGTTGAATTTCATTGGGTTTTACAGTGAGCATTTTCACGATGTGACCGGAGATGACCTAATCGGTAATATGATATCTTTTCTATTGTTTGGTGGCCGGAATGATGAAGCACGTATGCACGACCGGCTCCTCCGTCAAAAACCCGTCTCTATGGGATCCGCAAAGTTGATTCGGTACTATTTTAGTTCAATTGGAACATGCAGAAAGGTCGATCTGACTGCTGTTTTGATCCATCAGTGTCCTGCGGGTGCATGTTTGATGCATCTTTTGGAAGCGTCATCGTTTCCTATCCAGCTGAAGACACACTTGACCATTCGCATCTATCCTCATATACACACTCTGAACGATGGGAGACCACGCTTGAGGGTGACTATACACACTCTTTGGTGCTTATTATCAGTGTTTTCGACCACAATGAAGTCGGGATCATCCACGGGTCGGATGAAACATTACGATTGCTACTCGAACGTGAGAACAATGGTTCGGGCCTAATAAGTGACCAACACAACTGGTTCAACTGTGATTCCTGCGATTTTTTATGCGTTTTTTTCTCAGGATTTTGATTCCGTGCTATTTGATGTCGTACAAATTAGAGAGTCTTCCACAAATGCTGTCTTGTGGACAGTTACAGACAACGGAAGTCAGAAAGGGCGACTTTCACGGATATCAATGTATCAGATGTGGTGGAGTTGGCAGCCGGTGTGGCTCTCAAATACGTCCGATTAGCGAGAACGAGGCAGCGACGATTCGGTTATCTGTGGCAGTTAGCGGTCAAAGACGTGGCCTGTCTGTGGAAAAATAAACCCACAGAACAGGTAAACCGTCACTTGAAAGGCACACGGGACACAGAACGTCAGTGAGAGGTGGTCAGTTTGACCAGCTGACAATGAAAACAAATAGCCTGAACTGACAGGGAAATATGTGTCAAGAGACACCCAGTAATTCGCCTGCGGTCCCAAAACGAAGTGTACCCGAAAAGCCTCATAATAAAGAACTTGGGTGACAAGTCAGTAGCCAATCACATTTTGGGTGAGATGGCCCTGTTAATTCTGAACTGTGATTTCAAGTCCAAATGGACGGACTGTTGGTCACGTTTTTGGTCAAACAAACAATGATGATCCACAGGATAGAATAAAAATAAAAAATACGTCTACCTAGGTAAACAACTAAAAACATAGTCATCACTTTTCTGAGGTTCTTTCATATAGGGAACGTTTCTCTTCCAGAATTCCCACTAGGTGCATCTTGCTAGGATTGTTTCTTAGAGGAAAAGTTGGTAATCTTATCGTTCCCATTCACTTTTCATCAACCCAGTTGATATTTCGTGATGTCTCATGGTGTGTCCATGTGCAACCTCAATTGTTTCTACGGCACACTGAGCAGCCATATCTGGCGAACACCAATCTGTTCTAGGAGTTCGAGAGCAGTCGTGAGGCAGTCCATATCGCACCCTATGACAAGTATACACTTGAACACCCACCTGCGGTACATTTCGTCGGCTCCGTGAAATCGCGGACTTCACGTGTTCACCGGGCTCCTTTGAGTCAGATCAGAGGTTGGGAGTTTTCTTACTGTGTAATAGGATGTGGTAGAGTGGAGTGTAAAGTAGTCAGATAGGAAAACTCTCTAGTGGGCAATCGAAATTACACACGGGCAAACTGAGCAGTGACATGGGAACTGTTTACTGGTAGTATGAAGCAATTTTAAAAATTCGACGGAGATTTCCTACTGTAAATGGAACCAGTCTATCTCAGAAAGCCCAGAAGCACCGTACAGCTAGTTATCTAGTCTTTATTGGGAATCATTAGCGGTGCACATTTCGCGAATCTCCAGGCAGAATTGATCTCTTCGATAGTAGTTGAAGACTAAACCGTTCGACTACGAGTGACTTGAAACTTGCATGTAGATACGATGAACCTTTCATATGAGAAGTAAGCTTTTCGTCATAGATTGACTTCCAGGAACATCTGCTGAAATTTCCAAATCTCCTCCTTGAACAGCTGGCATTTTAACAACTCAGCCGTGTCCATTTATTATCTGTGCACAATTTAGGCATGTCAACGTCCGCACGTAAATCCGAAAAGTAGTCAGCTTTTGCTGCCGTTTGACAACTTCAGCTACTAGACATTTCGCGCTGCCGTCCAGCATGGTACCCACGCCCAACCTGTAAAATTCGTATGTGGCTCACCACTCCAAGCTCCCATGTCGGACTGAAGTTCTTCAAATTAGGAAAACACAACCCATCTACCCTTATAAGCTTCTTATCCACGTTCCACAACATTCACGCCTTAAAGAAGAACCCCAAAGCAGTCCACCACCTTTTCTCCTATCTCTCTTCGTTGTATTTTTCCATTTTTCAAGACTTGCGTTTGCATGTATCTCATCACACTAGCTTAGATATGTCTTGTTTTGATACTGTCCTGCTTTCTGTTGCCGCTTTTCACATGGTACCTCTTACACTTCGTATTCACTTTCTGTGTAATCCACATTTATATGTAGTGAGAAGAAATCCGGGATAACTGTTTTGCCTACGAAGGCGTGTCTTATTGGATTTGTCCAGAAATGAAAGAAGTGTGACTTGAGAAGCATATAAGATGCGTTGAGAGTACGACTTCGCATATATCACTAGGCTACTGATGTAATGTTTAGGTTGGAACACATAATTCCTCCACTGAAAGCGAAAAGCGAACGTTAAACACCAGTGAGGCATCGGTTTAGGGTTGTTTTCCTGCAGATCCGGTTAACTTTTGTAGTTTGAGGAAATCTTGGAATTCTCAAAGGTTTCGTCCCGTAAGTGAAGGCAGTCTATACTGAAAATTGTTATATCCTGTCTAAGTGCGAGGTAGTCACAGTGCTGATCAAGCGCTCGTGGCCGAACAGTAAAGTGTTCAATCTGCTTTTCGGAACGTCGCGGGTTTCGGGTGGTTCACGCTGATGCTGATGCCCAGTAAGAAGGAAACAACTGTACAGTGTTTCTCGCTTTTCCATCTAATCTGTATTGAAAGTTCCAGTTAAACTGTTTGAGCCTAAGTTTTGATGGAATCAGATAAAACCAGGTGTTACAGAAAAATCCGAAACTCATCCACCATATCATCGAACCCTGGCTGTTGATCCACGCGTAAAATAGGTCTGCTGTCGTATGCGCTTTCAAATAAACTGCATTCCATTGTGATGCAGACTGATGGTTCTGTCAAACTTTTCCAGGTCGAATCGGAAGCGACGTATTCACTCTCGTCACCACACATTCTGTTGGTATCAGCGTGGAATCAACCGCCTTGGAAGGTGTCCCAGAAATAGCTTTTCTGGATGTGATTATTGGTCAGGTTTGTGGTTGTCAGGGCTTCCTTTTAAGTAGTTTCTGATGTTGAATAATATTTTCGTTTCACCCCAAGGATCTCTTCGGTGCGGTTGCTGTAAACTGATGGAAATTTGTAATCTTATGTTTTATCGTCGTGAATTTTGGCTATACCTACCGTGTAGCAGGCTACTGAGTGTCTGGACGCTGCGGTATACACAATGGACGTTTTCCAGTTTTAGATTTGGGTATGTCTACTCCTCATGCGATTGTCTTAATACATTTACAAGAGACATTCGTGTAGTCTTATGTAGAGTAGAGGTATTAGTCAGCCGGGATACTTAGCTTTCTTATCTCGCCGAAGCGAGGACAACACAGGGAATGGGATTTTGGCTTCGGCTGTGAATTGGTCTCTCGCACCCAGTCGAAATGAGTTCGAGACAGTTCAGTCGTTAAGATGCAAATTCGCTGATCAGAAGGTCCGCAGTTCGAGCCCAACCCCGGCATCTCTACTCCTGGCAAACTGGCTGTAACTCAGCCCTCATACTTCCTTCAGGTTGCATGACAACCATGCCCTGAACGGGTGTTACAGATGAACTCTTCTTATCATTAGTATGATTATTGTTACTACCCAGTCGGCGTTGGTGGAGAACGTTCTGACCTCTTCAAAGAGAGAGCCTCTCTTGAGGAGCACTGTACGCAAAAGGTTTCTGCTCGGGTATAGCTGTAAATTCGAACGAGGGACTTTTCCGTATCAATTACAGTACACCGATTGTTCGGGAAAATCGAATGATTAGTAACTCGACTAACCAGCGGATCCCACCTCAACTCTTGTTGTCGTAAATGGTAGAAATTCCGTCCCTAGTGGTGGTATATTTCGAGCTATTTACCTATTGAGGCGAAAGCGCAGAGCTGTATACTAAAGCCGTCTCATACGTCTAGGCGTTGTGGTGTGTATCATAACGTTCCTTTTAATTCTTCTGTTAAGGGCCTTTTCCCCGTAACCAATAAGTTTTGTGTAACCGGAAAACAACTAAATAGCTAATACTTCCAGCACGTTTTGTTTACGTAAAGCACGATATCCTCCATTCTTCTGACTCATGGGCTGTTTCCCTTGTCTACCACCGGATTTCAGTTCAACTTACGTACTCTCTACCAGCAGATTGACTCAAGTGTTTGTCGACTGAATTCGATGAACCGAACAACGGTCACTGCTTAAGGAACTATATCTGGTTGCAGCAGTTGCGTGACTCGCGTTTTCAACTGCACAGTTCAGCAGCTAGTAGTAACGTCAGCTACATGTATAGCCTCCTGTTTTTTTGGTTTGTTGTGGGATTTCGGCTTCTCGAGTACGATAGTGACGAAAATATTGGCAAAAGCCTTGTGATTGAAGCAGTTCAACTGGCTCTGCTGCTTTAAACTTTAAGAATTTGGTGGTGCCGGTGCACATCGTTGTCATTATGTTTAATTTGACTGTTGCATCGCAACAGATTTCTGCATGTTTGCTCGTCAGCTTTATTCCTTTGGCTGCAGATCGGTGACAGAGACTTGGACGCAGCGTCAACCTTGAGCCAGAGTAACCATATGTAATGGTCTGACTACGTCAATTGCTTCGATCACTGTGGACCTGAATATCCGATTTAGCCGCTCGTATGCATTTCCAACGGTTGATTATTTTTCTCGGGATCTGCACAGTACCTCGCCAGGACCTAGGTGTTTCTATTCCAAGCACGATTTTGACTGCCCGCCTAGGCACGATGGACACCTAGCGTCTCCCATCCCTCTGCTCTAGAATGTTTTTCTGCTTCACTTTACACCTTTGGGAAACTGACGCCCTTGATAACACATGAACGGCTTGGTACTGCGGAAGCTATAATGATTATTCGAATCCATGGCTTTCGAATGGCGCCCCATATCTACAGCTTCATTCTTGTATGGATCATTCTCGCAATCAGCGCTTCCTTTGTCTTCCGCGATAAAGTGAACAGATCCCAGGATACTGTCCTGGCGTTGACTATTCTGATAGTATTACAAGAGCTCTCACCGAAATCCTCGGTGTGAATGATCCTACCGATCTTAACATGTTTCATATTGAAAGACATTTTCTGTCATTACTTTTTGTCCTGACTAACTGGCCTTCTGAATAACTTTGGGTATGGAAGCCTTGAAACTTGTCAGTCTGCGGTAATTCTGTGTTTTGAGTACCTGGCTGTCTTATGAAACTCGCTTTACCTCCTTTGCAAATGTTTGTACCCATTTGTTGGTTTTTCTATGGGCTTTGGTGATGTTTACTGTAGTTTTTTGTCATCGCTGTGGTACTTCCATCTACAGCTAGCTTGGGACGTGACTCGTTTGGAGACGAATATGCAAGCCTACTTTGATACTATTCAATCCAACAAGTCCTCTCGTGTGTCAGGTAAGTTTCAGTTCACTACGGCACTTTTATGCTTTCTAAACATATCAGTTATTCCACTCGAGGTTCACTTACTTGAAGTGGGCGTTACTGGTTCACTTCTTAGAGTTGCTAGAATCCATTTCTCTCTAATATGATTGTTTGAAAGCGAACTAGAGCTTAAAATTTAGTCTCCCATTTACGGGCTATCAGAGGTGATGCCTATTGGAGTGCAAATCTCAACTGTGGTCCGCTGTGTTACAGTTGAGAAGGTTCCTGAAACAGAATCAAGAGTTCTGGGTTAAACAAATGTCCTCGTTTTTCAAGTATTCTGCTAATTTCTTCAAGAGGATAGGCTGGTTTCACAAAAGTTGTGGATCCCATTTGACCACGCCCGATATCTGCCATCGAGATTTCCGCAGCCATCGTCTGGACTGAGCGTGATGAGTTTGCTGTCGACCAAATGTTCTCAACCACAAGTCAGCGGGAGGATATGTGGTTTGTACTGTACTACTCATAAGGTTGCTGAAAATCTGTCTTGATATGAGGTTTGGTTTCAGATCTCACCCGGGACCGATGATTCAGTTATAAGGCTTGTAATGCAATGACTGGTCAGGTTTCTTCATGAATCTCGTCTGGCTTGAGTTACTAAGCTACTACGCACAGCAGATGAGTTTTCAGAGCGGTCTGGTGCTTTTAGTATTAAACAATACGCAGGTAGCTGTAGTGGCCGCTTGTTGCTTAACCTGTTCGGTTTACAAGATCGCTGTTATCAAAGCCCTCTTTTCTATGAGAGGCTAATTGTGAGTTTCGTACGCTTGCATGGTGACTGATAAATCACTGGACATAAGGTATGACAACGCTCTGTTAGGCCTTTGAGCAACATTTGAGTTCGTACCGTTCTCCTCCGCAAAAATAAACTGACCTCCTGGTTATTCCTGTGCACTATAATGGTGATGTGGTAGTCGCTGTTAGGCCAGAGATATGAAAAAAAGTTACAGTTCTGCTTTGTGAATTGCGGTTTTTGGGCTAATTTTAACGAGATTTAATCTGACAGTAAATAGGCCGTGAAACCCCATGAGTCGCCATCGGCCATATTTCCCCCGTAACGCTCAATACGGGCAACTTTCTTCTCGGGGCTCTTGCTATTCCTCGTGCAGGATATTTTCGCCTTAGCGCGCGATTGCGATCTCCATATTCACTATCTTCTGAAACATTTGGTAGCAAGCGGGTGACATAGTTGGATTGTTTTATCTTCACAAAGGACATGCTGTTTATTCGAGAAATACACTCATTTGCAAATCAATTTGGTTTTCACGAGAGACTCAACTGAATCTCTCGTTTATGATATTCTACAACTGAATGTGCTGCACGCAGGCCACCTCACGATTCAGTTGGCACGATATTAGAGGTATCGCAGAATATTTTCATGAAGGAAACTACTCACAAGGTTGCTGAAAACTCTTCGACAGCCCACGACTGGTTTCACCCTTCTTGGGGCTCATCAGGTATTTCAGGTATTCCACGAAACGTATCAGTTGCTCAAGTGTAGAATACAAGCTCCACTTTTCAAGTGATTACCAATTGATTGTCTTTACGACATTACATATTGCACGTGTCACTGGAGTTACAAAGCGGACCACTTTTCCATCGTCGCTGTGACTTAGTTTTATCGGTCATTTTGTGTATTTGTTGGCAACTTGACTAGGTCTGATCGTAGAATATAAATCCATACAGAGTGATAAAAGCCATGCGATATGTGGTCCGCTGTGAAGCAGCTCTGTGGCGAAGGACCGAAGATTCTCTCTAACGTAGGTCTCGACAAATTCAATGGGGAATTTTTAGACCTGTCAAGTCCACTCACTGAATTTATCGCAACCAATAAGGGTAACATCACGGATAGCATATCACGAGAAAAAGTTTCTGGGAGCATGCGACAAGTGAATTTAGACCAAGCTTGTTTTCCTGATCATCTGTCGCCCTTGCTGCCCAAAAAGCGGACTGACATCCTCATTGGACCAATACCTGTTTCGTATACTAATTGTTTTTTTCATCGGAAAAGTTTTTGACTATTGACGAGTGGTCAAAATAACACCGGTTCAGTAAAAATGGACAACGGAAATTTGGCCAGTCGCTTGTCGCTCCATTTTTCTCAAGCTGGTGGAACGCCAGTTCCTGGATTGAGTGCAAGGTGCCCTTTGGGACCAATACTGGTTCCAGTCAATTTGCTTACCGTCAGTGTGAATCTACAGTAGACGCTGTCGCACACCTAATTCACTCCGTCAGTGTAGTACCGGATTCAAAAGCGAATGGTGTGCGCCTGTCGTTCATTGACTACATGGATACTTTTGGTGTCGTTGACAGGCCACACTTACCACAGCTTTTTACTGAGGCAGCTATTTGTGGACTACATTACAAACCACATACAATTGGTTATCTTTTCCCTTGGAGTGTCCCTCAAGTTACTGACCCTCTCATCCAGTGCAAATATGCGAATGACATGGTCAGCTTTGGGTAACGCACGTCTGGAGCAATTGTTAGTTGATCAGACTAGCGCTCTCTCACCCTCACTTTTCCGAAATGCCGGGATGTCATCTTTTTCCTCAGCTCTGGTCCACTGTACATCGGCATACTAAGTAACTACCACCCCCCTCACTGTTTTCAGTGTGCATCTCCTCTAAACTTTCACCATGAAGTATCTGGACATGACCTTATATCCGTTAATCCTCCCATATCCAAGGGGTTTTAAGAGAGCTCAACGTCCTGTCGTTTATGCTACGGGACTCAGGATGCTTTTGCTCCCCACAGTCTTATTTGTAGGTTTTTGGTCACTGGATTTGTTGTTTCCCTACCCCTAACCGCGGACCGTTGAAAGTATTAATACGGTATTGTCACGCCACCAAAATAACTTTCCAGGTGCGTCAAATACCAAGGAGTTGCCTTGCATTTTGATACTGATTCCAACTTCACCCAACGAGTAGTCTCCAACTCTTTTCACCCTCTTCAACCACTTAAATGGAATTAATTCTACCTCTTACACTCGCTCTTAATGCAAACCTTTAGGCAGCTTTTACCATAATTTTGTGGTTCCTTAATTGACTCGTCTTCTATTCCACTGTTCCATCGCCTTGCACCTCTCCTACTTCCATAGAGTTAATCGAGGCGCATTTTTAAAGCCTATATTGTGGTATGTTACCATCTATATGTGATCTCTTTGTAAATTTACATGCCAAATTGTCGCTTTGGCGTGACTTACCTACACACTTTCTCCTCTGTTTTTTTTCTTCTACAGGAAACGCTGTCTTATCCGTCGAACTCTACTGTCCACCGACGGGCGAGCGTTTTCCCATCGATTTAACTCCATATCTACCTGTTTCAGGCTCTGCGGAAATCTCAACGGCAGACGATGAAAATCTAGAAGAGGAACTGACACAAAATGATGAATTCAACCAAGCGCTTACTGCCTAACCCTCTTTGTAGATACTTTCTCAACTGTATATACACAAGAAATGAGCTACCAACACTACTTCTTTCTCCTCTTCCAAAAGGGTGTTTTGGGTCGTGCTCCATATAGATGAAAACGCATTGTTTCCAGTTTGCTTAGTTCTCGGTGGATTCGTTTCATAATTTGAGCAAGAGGCTTTTCTGACTGATGCGCTTTAGCATCTGTTTTATTCGCATACTTCGTTTTATCCGCATCGATTTTCAGTGCACCAATATGGATAATTTCTGCCCAGTAATAACAATGTTTATCGTAGCCAGTAGATAAATTGCGTGTGTGTGTTTTTCTCCTATCCGTTCAAGAACGCATCTACCATCCGGAATTGTTAGCACTTACTCTGCTTCCATCTGTGTGTGGGACGCAAAATGTGCTGCAATTATATGACGGATATACAGCAACAAACAATGAATAATTGTGTGGCCTCGTCACTAGTCAGAACATCCAACTGTGTTTCCCTGTAGAACTGCTTAAAGATCACATTTGTGATATCATAAGTCTACCCTCTACTGGTATGCAACTGGGTGTGTTCATTGAATTCCCTATAATTTGGGTCCAAGTAGAACATAGGGTTGACGGGAACTGCGGGCCTGCACCTACCTGATGAGCCCCAAGAAGGTGAAACTGGTCGTGGGCTGTCGAATAGTTTCCAGCAACCTTGTGAGTAGTTTCCTCTGAGTGTCATTTTGTCACAGAAAATACTCATTTCAACTTTGGAGATTCAGTCTTTAGAACAATATACGATGTCGCAATGGGGAGTTTATTGGGCCAAAATTTAGCCGACACTTTTCAGCTTAAGCTAAAAGTACAAGTTGATTGATACGATTGCGGGCGCTCTACCCTAGAAACGTTACTTTGATGACATTTTGATATTTACTTTTGAAGAACGCTCCATTTTATCTTTTGCCTTTCCTAAAAATATACCAACCTTTCTAGGTCTCACCAACTCGAATCCAACGACAACTTATTAACGCGCCTAAAACGAGATTTTGCGCGTATCCTTCTCGACAGAGCTAGAAATAAGTATTATTGATGATCTACCAGGGCTCTCTAAAACAGACCCTCATATTAAAGGGTTATTCTGATAAGTTGATTGTGATACACAGTAAAGCTAGACAATCGAATGAATGGACTTAGGCGGTGTCGAGAGAGCGTGTGTTCGTGTGCTTTCCATTTGAGAGTGACCACAAAAAACGTCTTTAGGCCAAGTAAGCTTTGAATGGCTTTGAAAGCGTCATACTTTAGGCTCGTCTTAACTACTAAGGTCGCACTGCAGCCTGGCTGTTCGAGTTTGTCCAACCTGTCTATCTCACACGTTATATCAGTTTGCCTGTAGCTGATTTGACGCTTACTTTGGCAGAAAGAATCTACCTCTTTCTTAAGACGTAGGGGGACCGCCTTCCAAAAGTGTGTTACGAGCCAGCCAGGCACAATCGCACGCAGTACGGTCAATCAGACGAAATCCAGTTTCATCGATCACTCGACATTTTGTTGCAACGGGCTGTCTATGTGACCCTTCTAATTCATTTTCGGTCTTGTTGCGTAATTCGAACCCACGATTCCTAGCATTTAGCAAAGTCCAACTGGTCAGGCCGGCCTTGTGTGCACAGGAAGTATTGGTCATAAACTCTCCTCTTACGCCCCTTCATTCCCGTAAAACGGTACCGTTTCCACCGTTCGTAGCCACACGCCTACTGTATAACGCCACGATTTTGGAAAGCAAATGAAATGTTGAAACCTCGCATGTTCTATTTTCCTCCTTTCATAATGATGTACAGTAGGCGAACTCAGTGTTTCAGGTATCCAGCAATGTTGGGAAATTCTGATCATTCATAATTGGTCGGGGACAATTAATTTTTCCTCTGAAAATCGTCATGAAAACTTGAACGATCGATGGTACACCGGATAGAGAAGGCAAATGCCACAGATGCCCTCGCATCGGTGCCCCATCCAGCTTCGATTTCGTCCCACAAAACCATATGCACGCTTATACTTCGCCACCAGGAGGAAACATCCGGGAGGGAACAGCGCTTGAATGAACGTCATGAATCGTACCTTTGTCCATTTGGATGATGGTCTGATAATGGTTGAATTGGCCTGTGAAGTTACAATTACCCACTAACGAAAACACCCGAAGTGGTCCATTCTGAGGGTTGGTCCGTCTTAGGTGGTAATCAAGGGAAACTGAATGCAAACGCTAGACGAAACCTATTTTGTGGAAGCTTGAGTTCGCTTATCCTTTGTGAGTTTGAAGTAGCTTAAAATCGACGGTTTCTCGGTTTCCAAAAGGCCTCTATTATTACATGTGCTTCTTTTTTGACGACCGAGTGGATCCTTTCGTATTATTACATGTGCTTCTTTTTTGACGACTCCTTTCACTGGAATGCAGGTGCCATGAGAGAAATAAAATGGGTCTCCCGTCAAGGTCCACCATCACACCATTGGCAATATCGGAACCACCGCCACCGATGGCTCATAAGGTTCACCGGTTATCAGTAATTCGGCTTGCAAATCTTCCCAAAAAATTTTGAGGACTGGTTTGGAACGTGGAGAGTTTTCATCCGGGACTGTGAGTGCATTTTCTCCTTCATGGAAACAAGTAGCAGACCAAACTACCAACTGAACGCTGTCGTGATGTTAAGTCTACGCCTGTTAGATTCCTGAGAGACTATGCGGTATGCGTCAGGCTTGCGGGCCTGTTGGTTATCTCATAACCTGACTGTTGTGCAGCTTTTGGTTTTGGTACATGTATCGAGTGGTCGTCCACAAAATGTACTTAGACATGTCATCCTCGTCTATGCTAAAGACTAACGTTGCCAAAATGTGCAGATGTCCCGGGCAACTTCTTTCTGGTGACGTAGCAATCAATAGCTTGTTACATGTCCTATTTCTGTAACTACTAGGACGCTGACATTCTGGAACATTCGGCGTTTGAAAAACGTCAATTAAACAGATTCATTGAAGTATATATAACGTCGGAAGTATCTGTTGCATCTTATTTGTGATTCTCCGTGTTCAGATGCTGCCTGGTGCGTGTATGTATGTGGATAGGTAAGGTGTACCCTATCACACAATTATCAACTTAGCGTCGTCCTTCCAGACTTTTAGACATATTCGAAACCAACTCCGTTTTCTGTTACGCGTGACTGTATTGTGGGGATAATATTAAGGCCAAGGATACCATTGATTCAATGCAAGGCATCCGGGAATATTAAAAAAGTTTATTGGTTACTGGAGGAGATAGGCAAATTTTTCTAATCTTCAGTGTATCCATCTTGAGGGAGTCTGCGGCTGTCAAACTGGTGTAAGCTAGTTACACGCAATATGGAATCACTAACAATCAACATAATTCGTGTCCACGGATGAACTCTGCTGAACTTCGCTGGCATTAGAATCTAACGGCGGTGCATAGTCTTCGTCAAAAGAAGTGTTTGAATTAGAGGCGGTCACATGTAACGGTAACCTCTGTGGATGAGGTATAGATTGCCTGCCATATCGAAGGATAACGGGGTGACCACAGAAGCTAGCGACAGACAAAAGCATGCACAGTACCAGCTAGACGTGCGTGCCTCTTACGCCAAGAGAAAGCAGTTCACAGCTGTAATACTGTACCGTTAAGAAATTCAGGTTACTCAAAATACCCCCAGAAGGCCAAATGCTTCCTGGAAAGCGTCAACTCCCCAGATGTCACTTTAGGCCACCCGATCCTCGGGCCAGAACAGCAGACTATCGATTGGGCGTTCAAGTAGACAGTCAACGGTGATGGTCTAGTCTTTAGCCCTGCACTAGAAGTCGTGCCAACCAGTCATTCAAACTTCTGACAAGTAACTTTGGTTCAGGATAAAAAAGTGCTCCAAATACCGCAATGCTTCCTGCAGTTTTGCACTCACTTGCTTGTGCTATTGTTCGATCACTAAAAGTCTGGAGTAGGCGGTTGCATTCACTTGCGACAACTCTACAGGACAACAAAAGCAAAGTCTTAAACAGTTTCCAATTTTTGAACCTTTAGGCCCACGTGGGGATGCGGAAACAGGTGAATCATCTATTCCATTCAACACTGTACGCCGAAGCATCAGGACTACATAAGGCGCCATGCAATATATGAGAGCGGATCTACTACCCAAAGCTTAGCTTTTCGCAGGTTTTCCGCTGCTCAAAAGTAAATTCAATCCAAGACTTGCTGCTTCTAGCCGGGACTTCCGACCTTCAACAGGAAGGTGGATTATGATCCCTATTCAACTTCATCTTGCTCCTGATCCTGACGACCATCAACCTGCTCTATTCAAGAACGACGGTTGATTCCCCAGCCACTGCCAAGCTAGCTTATTTGCGTCTGTCTGTGAGAAGGAGACTGTCCCAAACAACTGGAGTGAGTCAATATTTCTGCCTATCTTACAAAATGATGTCCGCAGTGAAAATACTAAGTAAATGGTTAGTTTGACTCTCGTTGTAACAAGGCTTCTGACGTCATTCATTATCCGTCATCTTACATTGGCACACAAAACTTCCTGCCGTAAGCATCAACCCGGTGGTGCCGTTTATATCTTCACACCCCGTTAGGTGTTACAGCAACGTCATACGTACGCAAGACTCACGATTCTGGTGCTCCTTGACTTCAAGGGTGAGTTCGGTCCGTGCTGTTAACCACACTCAACAGGGTACGCCGCAGAGTTTGTGAATATAATCCGATCCCTATATTCACCTACTTCTGGGCGTGTGAGTGCATGGTGAGCTCTCCAAGAGCTTCCTTACAAAGCACTGAATGTTTTGGAGAGTTGTACCTAACCCGGTAGTTGTATTAACTCTGACGAAAGTGTGTCTAATGAATGATTGTGCATGAAGCTGAAAGACTCGAATCATGTTTTCTAATTTATCTCAGTTTTGGTGTCAAAACGGTACATCACTGGGTTTCAAGGGTCTAGGCGAAAATAAGGGCTCTTTAGGTGTCTGGTCGCGAGCATGCCCAATGTGAACAGACGATGTGAAGCGTCTACAGATTTTTGATAACCGATGTGCCAGTATTGTTGCTGCTTTTGAATGGCTTCAGAGAATTCGTAACCAGCTAAACAGAAAGCTGGTGTTTGGTTGTGCAGCAGGTACTTTAGTGGCAGAAAATATCCCCTACCACCACCAAGTGCGGTGGTTTGAGCATGTGCTACTCATGGTGGGACATCGTCCACGGAAACGACTGTTGTTCTCCGTGTTTTCACCAGAATGACGCAAACCGTGGGGTGATGGACAAAGCAGGACCTGGTAGAAGAGTGTGAATGAGAATACGAATAGTTTAAGTGTTGTTGGTGCGGTCTGCCTTTCAGAATGGGGTCACCATGACCTTGCTTGCCCTTGGCTGAAGACATCTCAAGAAGTGGCTATTGGTCAATGGTAGTAGCGTTCGCACTGTGGGTTTCTTGTCGGATTGTCTGACCGAGCATTTGGAGGTGTACACATCTCAGAATGCTTGCTATAGATAAACACCAGGTCGATCCTCACCACTATTTTCTCTCCTTTTTGCTGTAAGGTTCTAAGTACGATTAGATAAACTCTGTGATTCTACGGAAGTGAAGCATGAGTGACAACACTGATGTTGCTTTCTCTGGTGATAATATTAACATCAGTAATAATGATAGTGGGTGAAACGATAGAAGTCTGTATTTAGTACTGTAAGAACAGTGAAAAATAGCCCCATGGGGATTCGTGCGATTCGTGTCGCTGATGATTACTAGTAAGGATGAAGAGCCTCTATGGTGCTTTTTGGCTGTTTGGCTTAGACTGACTGATTACGACTGATTCGACTATGACTTCCAAATCCCCTCATTCTACCAACAATCTGCGAGTAACTTAGGGAAATAGCAGCCTGAATGAATCTTCTGTTTGAGATGTCACTATCCAAGGATCCGGTTATCATGTGATCGCGTAACATGAAAACTCAATTGACCCATGAATATATCAAGTCATTTACAACAAACACTGTTGAAGAGTGTAATATGAGCGAACAGCTTTCAGTGAGGGTCATCAGAGATGATCCGGAAGAACAGTATTCTAAACGAAGTCCAAGTGACACTTGAACTCTTCTCCGAGGAGGCTGACGCTTCTGTCAGTCTGTTTCACATGTTGATAGTTCTAGACTAGAGAAGCTGATGTTTTTCGTTTTGCCAAACCTTTATTCCTTCTGCCTGATTCCAATACTTCAGTGCATTGATAATCCTCTAGCTTTAAAATCTCCCAGTTTGCAGGATTGGCGAGGCTCCTTAGTGGTTTGGGTGGTGTGATTAAGCCAACCCTTAACTCTAACCCATGTATCGAGACCATGCCATTTATTTGAGTCTATCGCTGGTAACACTTCAGGTAAGGGCTCATAGCTCGTGTACGGTATTCAAGGGTTGAAACCTAACATAGATCTTGTAAGGGGACGTGAGTACCCGGGGTATTCTCAGATGATGTGGTGCACGGCTGGCTGTCCTAGATCGCCACTTGACATGGAGTGAACGAATACAATTTAGCTGTGACTCATCGCTCCAGGTATCTGACAACGGCTCTCTTTGGGGTAGGTGCATATCTGGTAAGCTCACTTGGGAAACGTTGTGGGCCTGAGGCATCGGCTGCAATGAGGTGCTGGCAATTAAGACGTTCATTTGAGGCACTCAGGGAACACCGCAAGCATGCAATTTATCGGAGACGGGCTGGGTAGTCATTTTGTGAAAATCTCGCACTCCCAGCTAGTTTTTAGTAAATTGCACTCCTCAGTAGTTTTGTAAGTAGATGTTGGTTACAACTATCGGTTAATTAATGGAACAGTAGACCGTACTTGACCATCAAACAGCCGTGTGCACATGTACGACTACAACCACACACGAATGTGGAAGTTCGTCGTCCACTCTTATGGCTGGCAAATGCATTCATTCTGCACACGTGACAAAACGTCCGCAATTCAACCAATCTGTGAATAGGCAAACGTCCATTCTTTGTCTTCGCAACCTGCATCGATCAGGGTTCGCGACTTTTGATTGGTTAGCTACGGAATAGATTCATATCTTTGCTAGGTCCATCTCTAAATCAGTCGTCCTGTGTAGAGCGGGCCGAAACACGTTCTGAGAGAGTTGCAAATTAATGTCGAAGTCCACAAGCCAAACTAAGATACGAAAGCGCCCTAAACGATGTGCTTTGGGCATATACCACACAGGTGCTGTACTCCTGTTTATTGGAATACTGGTTGCTATTGCTGGTCTGGCCACACCCAGATTGTTTGATGTGTACATTTCTGATTTGAGGAAGCCAGCTCGATTCCTTTACGCCCGCATTGCAGTTGGACTGTTCTCTGTGGCACCCGAGGTTAAGTGGCTTTCTTTGGAACAGGACAGTCTTCAACACGGTCTAGAGTTGACGGGTAGGTTATTCAACAGAACTAGACTCTTTTGTTCTTATGTTCCCCTTTTTTCCTGTAAAACTAAAATTTGTTTCAATGGGTCGATATTTTTCAAACCTATAAAACAACGAATCAAATTTTGTGGTTAGACGAAATCGAGCACGGCCAAAAAAATGATCTTTGAAAACTTCGGAAACGGTTCAACTTGACTTGACTCTGAATTGTCTTTTTGGATTACCAGGGTACTTGGGCTAAGTAGCAGAGACTAATTAATGGCCGGACTAGCTGACTCCCACGCATTTGCTTCTGAACCCCCAGTCAACTAATCAGCTTTAAGCATTCGAATCCTCAGGTGCTCCGTACTTATGCAACTCTATTCAAGCCTCATTCACCAACGACACCGCTTGAGTTGATCGTGCAAGTTGGGCTGTTGGTATCAGGAAAGCAACGCAATTGCTCTCATTTGTTTGCGCCACTGATTGATGGTTATCCGAAGGGCACGGCGGACGGTCAGTTATGGGATATAGTCACCACGCATGAAAATTCAAATTTTGGCTCCAAAACACCAATAGTGTTAGATGGGAAGTTAGCAGGACACGATAAGCTATTCGCTTTCTATACAGGCCAGTCTAGTCACAGTACACTAAAATAGACTATCTGCCTACCAACCTTCATATGACTGGCTTTTAAAGGAATAAGAGAGAGAGATGCCGACCCTATTTTTGACCTTTGTAACAGCATCAGTTCGCCGCGTAGTCTATCCCTCTTTCAGTTTTGATCATACGCAGACGCATATAATGCTTGTGAATGATTTGCATTCTCTTGAACAACACACAATCTTGTTCCACTGATTGTCTAAAATATCCGGATCTGTCAGCAGAAGAAGACATTTGATACTTTTGACATTTTGGGCAAGCATTCTTTCCTATTTGATCGTCGATGAAGTCTTGTCTGCTGTACTTGTCTGCTGCCTTGTAACCGATTAACAATCTACGGGCTGAACTTTTTCTCGGTAGAGGAAGACCATTTAGTTTCTGCAACAGACGAATAGGTTCTTACTATGCAACAATAGCAGGTATACTTTTATCGGTGGAATTCAACGACGTGAATATAGGCGCGTAATCAGTCACACTTATGCTACATTCCACTCAACTCTGTCTTCCTTGTGGACTTTTACAATCATCACTCTCATTTGGACAGTTCTTTCCTGGCTCGAGATAGCTCAATGATTGAGTCCCGGATTTACTGGACGGAAGGTCCTTGTTTCGAATCCAACCTCCACATTCCGACTATTCTTATCTGAACTCAGGCAACCTGGCCATATGGCAGCCCTAGTGTTTTCTTCGAGTGGCATGCCAGCTAGGCACAAAAAGGGTGTTAAGCTGAACGAGTATTTTCATTATTGCCACCGTGGGACATTTTTGTTAAGCTTGTTGGAACTCACTATGTTGTTATGGCATAAAATGCTTAGGAATAAGATCCAACACCTAATGTCGAATCCGTTTAATACCTCGACTCTCACAATACTTCCCTTGCAAGACATGCAGGTTAGCCGAAACGATTGTGAGCGAATGTGCTTTTCCGAACTGTCTAGTGGAGTCCCTTCAAAAACCCCGAATTATGTGTAACGTCACTTTAGCGGAGTTCTAGACTCAAGATGGTGACATGAAGCGAAAAGACCATGTTTTCATTACTGATTACAGATTAAGTTGCATTTGAAGGGAAGAACGTCTATTTGAAATCACCCAAATGTCCGGATTCGAGCATTCGAATACTGACCATACCCGGCATAGTCAGCCCGATTCAGTTTATCAAATATAAACCTTGCACCAAGGGTACGTTCGTTCAGTCTGTCATAGTTTCGGTCACTGGAAAGTGGGAGAATGTGGGACATACAGCCTAGCCTTGGGATCGATGGTATGTTCAGGTAGTTAGGAAACTGGGCACTACGCATTGAAGGCGATAACCTTGATGCACGCCCGCCACTGACTGCGCGATCGGGCCATTTCAGCCAGTGTCATTAATCATTAGTGAGTTGAGTCCCGAGGTACTCAATCGACCCGACTAAGTTGGTTAGCGTTTTCATGCCTCGTTATATCATAGACTGCCCACCTCTCAATAGCTCCCACTCAGGACAAAGCTGGGTGAAAAGAGCTCTGCAAGGCAGACGGTTTTCTGGCCTACGGAGTACATGCCCTAACCAGCGTAACCTACGAGGCGTAACTCACTCCTCATGGGGGAGTTCCTTTTTCCCAGGACTATCTGGCGTACCTCAGCATTGTTAATCTTCGCCATACACGCGTGACCCAGCCGCTTTTTAACCGCTTCAAGTGAAGCTGTCATTGCTGATTCTGATCGGGATTGTTCCTACGATAAGTCGTTGTTCTGATCACTGGGACTAACCCGGATTCACCCAGTGTTCTCAAAAACTGGCTGACGACCAGGGCTACTTTAGTACCGTGAAGCTGAAGTAATTCAAATGTAGGGTGACAATATTGTTAGGTGCTCCATAAACACGACACAAACGCGGCTGATGCGGAAGGTTCCTGCTATGACGGTGTTAATGCGTGTTTCAGAACGCCATTTTGCCTCCAATGACTAACTTTTTGCTATAATCATGCTTTTGAAAGTTTATGCTTATCATGCTTTATTATTGCCTGACCGAAAAGTCTTTAGTATAGCCAATGACTTACGCACTTCCGTAAGTGTATTCTGATTGTTGGTTTCTGCTGAATGAGCGTTCTGTCCCATCGAATATTTTTGGTACCACAAGATGCACGGACAATGATAAACCCTGCCTTCGTTTATTCTCCTATCACAAAGAACGTTTGGATTGTTGCGCTGAGTGCTTCAAACAATCTGTAATTTCACTCCGACTACCGATTTTGGACGGTGACTACGTAACCACCTTGGAAATGTATGCACGTAACCCCTCACTTAAAAGGGATCGAGCTTTTTAGACCGATTACATTTTGTCTGCTTCGTTCAAAGACGGGAGTCAATTTATTGGTCTGCCCTAAACAATTTGCCTTTGTCCATAAGGAGGGCTGTGTCTAGGATAACTGGAGTGAGTCGATCATAGTGGCCCTGTTCAAAAAGGGTGCTTGCTGTGAATGTGACAACCTTAGAGGTGTTGATTGTACTCCCTTGTTCAATGGGTCTTTTGCGTCACCGATTTCCTCTTTGCTTACGGTGGGAAGCGAAACTTTAACCCGCAGCTAAAGATCGTGTTTTCGGACGCGGAGCAATCCACGCCACCATCCTCCGTGTTGGTGTTAGAGCAGTGTCATATATACAAGTGACCCATATTCTTAGTTTTCTTTGGCTTCAGGTACACATTGAACTTTTTCGATCAGCCAACGCCTCTAATAACGCTCATTTAATAAGAGCTGTGTCAGAGGTTGATGAGCAGAATTCTTCTGATATTCAGAAGCCTCCAAGGGTCCCCATACACAAAGACCTGTCGAACCCCGGCATTGATCAATCAATGAGACAAATGCTGGAAGGTCTCCCAAATTCAGTTCCTGGATTGTTGCTGGTGTGAACTTTGTCGGTCTTGAAGATTCCCTTAAGCCTGTGAGGATTAACATAACGCCCAGACACTATTAAATAGCATAGATACATTCCTACTATCTTTTGGTGTGTGCTTTGAACCGCAGAAGTAAAATATGTCGTTAAGAATGCCTGGTCGTTAAAACTGCCCCTGCAAAAAATACTGGATATTATGGAGAATCGGTCATAAGTTCATAGTTGTATTAGCCTTGACGTAAATGTGTTCGGTGCATTAATCTCAAATTTCCGAACCAGATTCACCAACTGGTACTATAATTATCCGAAAGCACGCCATTATGTCTCAGGAATGGCGTATATTATGCAGCAGTGCGAGTTGTGCTGTTTGCTCCTGACGAGGCAGTGACCTGAAGAGTCTTCGGGATCCTGAACACCAGTATTTTGGAACAGTATCCGGCGTTGTTTGGTGTCGGTGAATTCATGCTTAAAAAAGAGGCTTTTGGTTGCGTAACAAGTGCTTCCTCCAAAAAAACGGAGCACTCTGTGGTATAAATTGTGATTGTCTGGTCGTGTGTCACACGTACTGAGTCATCATTTGCCCGTACTGTTGTTTTCCACACCTTCCGAATGGCGCAAACTGCTAGATGAGCAAGTCAGGACTTGGCAGGTGTCAGGACGATAAGGAGAAATTCGGATATTGATTGGGATTCGGTGAAGCACCAGTGTTAGCATGCACCTGTGGAATGTGGAACATACCCACCTAATGTGTCAGGTGTCCGTCACATAAATCTTCGCACTACTGAAGGTCTTAGATCAGCCGAGATGACACGAGGCGGTGTGCAGTTATCAGCGAAATCGCCTGGGTCTAAAAGTACAAAATCCAAGTAGCCTTAGATCCAATTAACCAGCCCACCCCCATCCCCAAACTAATTGTCCCAGCACCCTTGGACGAACACAGGTGAACGAAATCTGTGAACGACCCCAAGAGGAATTTTCCATTAAGGTGTCCTAGACTGAAGAAGCAAGGACGAAAAAATCCGGGTTCATCATAAAGACGAACCCCCCCTAACCGATCTATCGTAAAGCTTAGTCATCGCACTAATCAACAAACAGGGACATCAGACTGAACACCCAGCACTGATCACGTCACTAGTCATAAGGAATCTCGCGGATTGGTTCCCTGACTGCCTTAAAAACCCAATCAACCTACTTACTTACTCACTTGGCCTGACGAAGCTTTTGTGTCAAAAGCGAAACGTTGCCCAGCAATAAATCCACCGATTGTTTACCAAACCCCTCTGAAAAGTGTCCCTTTCTTAGATGTGTGGACTAGCCAGAATAGAACAGTATGACGGCTGTTCGAAATGAATGGGATGTGAACTTTACAAGTTCCACAACTACCCATCAACAGTCCTTATACTTGCCTATCCCTACTTGATGCCACTCGATGCATAATCGAAAGCCTTTTCACTGGCCGGCGGTCTGCAAACATTTGCTACCTGATGCCTTATGTTGACTTTACCACCGCGGAGCCACTATCATCTGTCTTGTGACCCGACTCTTACAACTAGGCTACTCAGTTTCGCACATCCAGCCAATTCTATCGAGCTAATTTCGCAGGATTATGAACGGAACATTACAAGAAAATCTCATCTCTTTACTACTCCAAATTTTATCTAACTTATGTAAGCTTTAACTACTGGAAAACTGAGTTTGCGTCCACCATAATTCACTTTGAGGTTGAAATTATTTAACGTTTTCGATACAGGATCTCATAGTTTAGACACTTTCTCTCTGATTCCTTCGCAGAAGCATGGAGAAAATTTGCGACAAAAATCAGTTTACTCGCAATGAGTGAATCTCACAGCATATCCCTTGTGAATTTTGTGGCATTACATAACAGTACTCCTACACGGCGACCCTCCCCGTGATGAATCCGACTTTAATGTAACCGTAAGGTACTGCGCGACACAGACAAGCGCCATCTCTCCGTGATACGATCTCATTCAGTCGGCTTTTCTAAGTTTTGATAGAGGGTTACTTACTGCCTTTCAGTGTGACAAAGAAATTTACAATTTTAGATCGTTTGATTTTGTGGTACGTATCTTCTTCCGGCTGTTGGAAAGGTGGAGACTTTTCTTGTTTGGGCAGTTTGTTGATAGGGAAAACACAAGATTTTGATGTTCGGAGCTGGCTCCAGTCATGGCCTTATTTGATTCACCGTAAAGCACAATTTTCCGAATTGGACCCTATATTTTTGCACTGCATGTTCACCTGCTTAGTATGATGGAATAGGCGCATCTTTCTTGAGGTCGTGGAACCCAATTCTTGCAGGTCCCTAAAAATTTGGTGGATTATCATGCAAGCTAGCAGCCTTATCACCTTCATAGTAGATAGAAGGAGTAACTCCAGTCGAGTGGAAAACTCACTTTCTGAAGAGTAACAACTCGGTATTCGCCAACAAAATCTAAATGTCAGTTTACTAGGATCTTCCATAGTCGTCGATTGATCATTCAGCATCCCAGAATTTGTCCATCCTTTTATCAGCCTCGTATAAAATCTTTACAATGACGACCCCGTGAATAGCTTGGAAAAGGGTGACGCGTTTTCAGAGCTGCGCCACATCTTCCAAGTGTTTAATGAGTAGATCAGTGCCTGCTTGCCCAGATACTGAGTATTACTGAGTACTAAACTGCCGACAAGGCTTACAGCAATCCTAGACAACTCGTGAGGCTGTCAGACGTTAGCGATTTGCCGGGACCTGAGTATTTAAATGGAAGTTGCCTGTGATGCTTAAATCTACCCTGGCTTATCAGTTATTCATTTATAAGCCTGTTTACTGTCCTCTCTCTCTCTCTCTCTCTCTCTCTCTCTCTATATATATATATATATATATATATATATAGCCCTTTCTGACACCCTGGAAAATAGCGAACAATTCCAAAACAGCACATAGTTTTAGCTACGTGCTTTATTACCATACCGATTGACATCACCTGATAAATGACAAGTTCAGGTAACTAATCAACGGTTCTCCCCGTCTCCAGATTCTCAGTGGATTGGCGCAAAGTACGCGGTCATCAGTGGCCTGCTGGTTGCCACTGCGTCTTTCATATTGCACGTGGTTTTAGCCTGTCGTTCGACTGTGCTAACATGGAGATCCGTAGTGTTCGAAATATGTGGATTACTGATTGCAGGTAAGTTGCGTGTGTACCCACCTTCTCGTGATTCGAGAGAAATTCTTATGACAAAACAGACTCCAGTTTCTAAATTTTTTGTGTCTACCAAAACCAATTCTTCACTTCGAAAGAATTCTACAAAGAAAAAAATCTTCCAGTTGTGGCACTCTTTTCGTGCCTCTCTGCCGTGCAAACTGGGATACTGCCAGGTTGCCCAAACCTAGACAGGACCAGTCGAGATGTTAAGGTCAGGTTCGGACCACGGGCCTTCCAGTCCGTAATTTGGTGCCTTAACTACTGAGCTCTCCCGAACTCTGAGCTATCTCAAGCTCCAAACGGGACCCATTGGCCGCACGGTGATCTTAGCTGCAAAACCTTCACGGTTGGAGTAAAACACTTTTTGTTCCAAATGTTGCATTTTGTTCATATTTTGCAACTTTCCAGATTTAATTGTCCACTGAAGCCATCTTACCTCTGGCGGAAAAGTCTGATGGAATAATTTCCCAGCATCGCTGAGACGCCGGGACGCCTAAATGGGGCCCAAAAGTTTGGACCGGTCCTCTGAACTCAATGACCTGATTGATTTAGTCCATCAGGGACACGTCATAGCTTTCGTAAATTCAATTCTATTGTGCGAATGCTGAGCGCTGCTCCCAACTGCCAAGATGAATAACAATCATTTGTATCGGCCTTAACGGTAATATGTTATCCGAAGTCGCGGTAGTCGACGCAGGCCTTTGAGCAACTGAAGAGATGAAAGTTTTTTTTGGCTTGCCAGTCAGTGGACTTTTTTTTCTACACCTCAAACCTGGATGTCTTGCGAGTGGTTGTTGATATGTTCTTCAAGCCTGGGACTAGCTTGTCACCAACCGCGATGATATCAACACTAAGATGTGGTGCAGTGGTTTAGTAGTCAAAGGATCAATACAAAGAGGAGTTATGGTAGTGATAATTTCGATACAAATGCGAAAGAACCCAAACATTTGGGAGAATTTAGAGCGTCTGTAGTTGGATAAGACACGCTACTGGAGTTGAATGGAATAAAAGCTAAATTCACTTATGAGAATGGCAGACAACGTATACTGTCGTGCAAACATTCTTGAATTGTGTTATTGCGTGACCAACACAGAACAGCAGATATTAGGAGGCTTGAAAGTGGGACAACTCTCTCTGTGCCAGGACATTGCTTCGTCAGAGCTTACATTCACATTACCGAATGTCACTACCGTTTGTGTTTGTAGTCCGCACAGACCATAACAGATGCACACAATGGCATGACTAGTGGATTCGGAACAAACAGGATTAGGAAACGAGAGTACCTAGACAATCCTCCTCAATGAACTAGTCAACATATATATATATGCACTAGATTGAATGAGTATTCTTAAGACTGTGTAAACCAGTCGATGAGCTAATCGGAATGAATTCGACTGCATACATTTCTATGTTATTTACAGTTATTGCGGTGCTTGTCGGACTCAGTCTGGCCGAAAACGAAATCGAGTATGTCCACGACCACGGAGATGAAGCTTTAAAACGTTTTCTCTCGGTCAATCAGTTGCTGTCGGAGAGCGAATTCGAACAAGCGGGATCAGCCAACCAAGATCGAGTTATCGTCGATGCGGTTGCAACCAACCTGGCCGAAGCTAGAGGGAACTTGGATGGTGGGGATTTTGCCCTTTCCCTAACCGCACCTCAGATCAACTTCGCCCTACTCATCGCAGCTGATTTTCTATTTCTTGTTGCCTTTCTGTTTGTCCTCATCTACTTCGTGCGCCTATGTGAAAAAGCAATAGAAACGAATAAACAACTACGGTCTGCCCGAACAAGTAGCCTTGATGAAGGTGCCTGATTAGAATACAAGGTTCACATTGACCTTGGCGCGCCTCCTTTTCTATCCATACAGCAGCTCCATTAGATTATTTCACTCAATCATGCACATACACGCATACACACGCTTTGTGTCGCTTTTGAGTTATGACTCATTTTCCAGCCAACACTAAACACCTCACTTCACCGTCTCTACTTACTATTGAGCTAATGATACAAACATGCTGTTTATATCTTATCGATCGATATGTACAGAGAGTTACCGGCTGACAAGCGCGGTCGTTTTTTCGCAAATTGTTTGTATCCAACACTAACTTGATTGCGCCGATTTTTTTAAAACGAGCTTGGTAGCATTATGGTGTTCATGATAGTGACGTGGTCCGGAAGAATTGAGTGCGATCGATAAGTAAATGACGACAAATGTTCTATTCTACGTACGCATTTGAAGGACTAGAATTGGTTACATTTCGTTTTCCACTGAAAATGTCTCTTTATCGGTAAGATTTCAATTTTCCCTTCAGTTGACCACCATGGACTGGAATCGCTGCGTTAAACAACAGGGTGCTACCGTTTCTGAACCGTAACAATGTGTTATTTATTTTGGATAACAAGATCATGTACAGTGGACCGAAACTCGAAATCCCTTAAGCAGGGGCAGGGAGTAGGGTGAAAACCTTTGTTATCCGGGTCCAGTGCGTTGTCAGAAAGAAAAAAAACCATTCGGCATCCATTCTGGCCACAGTGACAACACATTTACGAAGAAAATTCCTCAGAATGTTGAAGCTGCACTCGTTTGTTGAGTTTTTTCAGAAAGAACAAATGTAGCTGGTGTTAAGATGGATTAACTCAGCATTGAGGAATCGGTGAGTGCCTCACCTATAGCCTCGTTAAAAAGGCAGATGTTGTCCGCAGGGGAGGGTGCAGTGAACCTATGCAGAACGGATTTGCAAAGGAATCTACACGTGAGGAATACCTGACGTCGTTTTCCTATAGATTCCAACCAACTCCCATGTTCTGTTCGCCTACATTGTTGGCGTTATGTCCTCACACTGCAAGCAGCCAAGTGTCTCTCTCAACAGACTGTTCAAATACCGACAGATCGTTGGATGGCATCAATTCATTCGATGGTTAATTGATGACATCATTGAAGTATCACGAGTGGAGTAGCTTTTCTTACCGGCAAACCAAGATCGTAAGCTAAATTCTGCAGAGTTATCCGGATATTTTGTAACAGAGCAAACCGCACTTGTTTGGAAATGGCCACTTGAACTTGGGAACCTGTTCGTCGAGATGAATATGTAGGGACACAATGCGAAGAAGAAACGGGACAACGGAGAACTGGAAATACGCGCAAACGAAGTATTTGGTGTCGGGAATAGTGAATGATGACAGGAGCGGTGCACATGAAAGCTTTTGCAATCGAATACCCAGAGTTCAGTCTACTGTGACAATTTTCCTACGTTTGATGCTGTGTCACCGAAATGTGAGTTTCTTTTCTATCCAAACGCAACGTGCATAAAAAGAATGCCACGTCCGGCGTGACGGTGAGATTTAGACTTATAATATGACAAGCCAGTGTATCGCATTAGCAAGTCAGAAAATCTGGTGGAATCGTCCAAACAAGCTTCGGTCTGAAACACGAGGGGTCGAGTATAAGAAGCACACTCGGGCTCTTAACTTTTCTCAAGATAGTTTCCCCGGAGAACATCACGTGTGACAATGAATTGAAAGTAATAAAATTTCATTTATAGACGTAGTACACTACTCATAAGTCTGCTGTAAATCCTTCGACAGCGCACAACCGGCTTCGCCCTTTTCGGGCGAAGTCCTCAGGTTCCCATCAACCTTATGTTCTACTTGAACCCAAACTGAAGGAAATTAGCGAAATGCACTCGTTTGAAATCAAATTATGTCTCTTGGGATACTTATCAGGAACTCAACTGAATCTCTCGTTTACTATGTTTCCGAGCAAGCTTATGAGTAATATGTTACGTCTATACGTGTATCGCGATATCTCGAATATCGTACCAACTGAAAAATCAGGCGGCCTACTTGTTCTCAAATGAGTTTACTTCGCTAATAGGATTTCAGTTATTATGTCAACGTACTCAATCTGTTTCCTGTCTACTTATTCCTAGGGTTTTAATACAGGGGCACTTGGTAGTGAACGTTGCACATAAGTGCATTGTGAGATGGAACCAGAGAGGCATCGTCTGCATTGTAAACAGCAAACAAAAAGTAATAAGTTTTTGTTTATCATAATATGGGTAGTCCATTACTGTACTAAACAACGGGAAAAAAGAGTTGGCATAGCATTTCCAACATTAATTATGCAAACACAACAT